TCGTTTTCAAGGAGTACTGGCTCCTTTTAGAGGAGACCAGTATTGGAGATAAAGATCTGGACATGTGAGATTGTTCCACATAATGACTAATGGTAGACAGGATGATACCAGATAAGAAGCTACTTAAGTCCGCAGAACAACTACCCTTTTATAAAAAGTCGTGGGTTTCTGTTGCTAATTTCAGTTCAGGTTTCTTTCTACCTTGTAATCTAATTTTCTCTTTCTTTAATAGTTTGGAACTATTTTATATAGGCACGCCAGAGATACATTTATAATGTTGTCCTCTCGATGGAGAAGGTTTTTTTTCCATTTTAAATTCTTGACTCCAGTGGCCTGACATTGATGTCCAAGTTGGCTTTTCAGTTTTCTCTTTTCTTAGTAAATTTATTTATTTTATTTATTTATTTTTGGCTGCGTTGGGTCTTTGTTGCTGCACGCAGGCTTTCTCTAGTTGCGGTGAGCAGGGGCTACTCTTCGTTGTGGTGCAAGGGCCTCTCATTGTGGTGGCTCCTCCCATTGCGGAGCACAGGCTCTAGGCACACAGGCTTCAGTAGTTGTGGCTCGCGGGCTCTAGAGCGCAGGCTCAGTAGTTGTGGCGCACGGGCTTAGCTGCTCCGCGTCATGTGGGATTTTCCCACACCAGGGCTCGAACCCGTGTCTCCTGCACTGGCAGGTGGATTCTTAACCACTGTGCCACCGGGGAAGCCCCAGTTTTCTCTTGTTGACATCCCTTGAGCCACATCTACCTGAAAAGTAAAAGAAACCCCGCCTCACCCCAAGTAAATGCCGAAGAAAACATAGGCAGAATATCTGGCAACTCAGATGCTGACCCATACAATTAGTAGATAACTGGAAAGCTCTAGGTCCTTAAGGAACTCTGTTTTTAACTCTTTTTTTCTCCTGGATGCTACTGGTGGTGGTGTTAATCTTACAGCCACCTAAAGTTGTTGGACTCGGATTCTTGAAGACTTGTGAATAAATGAAGCTGTTCTTAATATCATTGTTAGGCTGAGCTGACATTTTGACTATTATGATTGTCAGCAAATAACAGCCAAATTAATATCAGGAATCATGAGAGATTTTAAAAAATTTACCACAGAAGTTCGGGAGACTCCATCCTGTTGCATCACATTTTTGCACTGTTCACTTGGTTCCATAACCAACTCAGAAGGTATCAGCAAAGTTGTCTGACAACATTTCAGTCAGGTTTTAAGTTTGTATTGTATCTAGGTAGCTCCCAATACATTTTACAAGTAATTTGTGATCTATTCCCAGCTATTTTCCAAAGGAAAATAAATGAATTTATGTTATGATCGTAGGAAGTTTTAGTATAAATAGCCAGGATTTGGCATGAGTTGAATACGTGTTATATACCCTTTCAGTTTTATGTTCTGGGGTAATAGTATCACTGCAGAGATGTGATGCTATCTATAACACTCCATCCTCTATCTTTTTAGCTTACAAGTTTAACCTGTTTCTTCCATTAGAATGTAAGCTAACATGAAAGCAGGGGTTTTAGCTTGGTCACTACTGTATCCTTAGTGCCTCCTGCAAGGCTGGGCACACATTAGATGTTCAAAGAATATTTGTTGAATGAAAATATGTTGGTATTATTTCTCTGCCTCAAATCCTTTTGGAAGTAAATGATTGTTTTAGGATGTTTTAGGCTGCAAGTTGCAGGAAACTAATTCAACTCAGTTTAAATAATGAAGAAACCCATCGTTTTGCTTAATGGAAAGCCTTGCATTAGCGGGAGATCCCTGGTTGGGTGAGTCAGTGACTCAGCAGTTAGCGCTGCCATCACAACAGTCAGCTGCCCTCAGGCTCGTCCCTTCACTGTCAGCAGGTGTCTCGCAGCAGCAGTGAGCAGCGTGAACATGCACTGAGAGAAAGAGAAGGGACTGTGCATCTAGTTCATCTGGGACTGTACGTTTGAGTACCTAAATGTGGGAGGGAAAAATGAAAAACGTCTTTCCTTTCTTGGTGAGGACAGACAGCATGAATTTGCAGAAAATGCAGGGAGACTAAGAACCTTCAGATTACAGGATTTTGGAGATGCTGGAATATAGGATGATTTGTGAGACTCGAGCCATTCTTAGACATGGGGAAAGTTAAATGAGGGAGGACTCATTTGTTCTTTTGAAGTGCCCGCTTGGGCTTGTGCTCCATTTTGCTAACCTTCCAAACCTTTGTGCCTTAAAGAGAATACCTAAAACTGCTAAAGTAGAAAACAAAAGTGGCCCATAATCTCAGCCTCCAAATAATATGTGTTGATTTCAAAAATAAAATGATACAATACTTGCAAATTTTTTTTTAAAATTTATTTATTTATTTTTATTTTTGGCTGCGTTGGGTCTTCGTTGCTGCACGCGGGCTTTTCTCTAGTTGTGGCGAGGAGGGGCTACTCTTTGTTGTGGTGCATGAGCTTCTCATTGCAGTGGCTTCTCGTTGCGGAGCACGGGCTGTAGGTGCGTGGGCTTCAGTATTTGTTGTGGCGCGTGGGCTTCAGTAGTTGTGGCACATGGGCTCAGTAGTTGTGGCTCACGAGCTCTAGAGTGCAGACTCAGTAGTTGTGGCACACGGGCTTAGTTGCTCTGCGGCACGTGGGATCTTCCTAGACCAGGGCTGGAACCCATGTCCCCTGCATTGGCAGGCGGATTGTTAACCACTGCGCCACCAGGGAAGCCCTGCAAGTTGTTTTAAAAGACTTAAATAGTACAGAAAGGTGTAATAGGCCTGAATAGTCACCCTCTTTTCTGACACATATGCAGCACTGCCTCATTCCTCTCCTCAGAGGTACACATTGTTAACAGTTTTTATGATTCCTTCCAGAAAATAGCTGTGTGGGTATCAGCTATGTGTGCTTATCAGCACACACTGTTCTACTTCATTCCTTTTCACATCTGCATAATATGCCATGGGTGGAGGTGCTCATTAAGCAGTCCTCTTTCGTGGAGCCCTTTGGTTGGGGCTAGTGTTATACGTGTGTTGGTGAACCTGTGTATGTTTATCAATGAGGCATATTTCTAGTAATGGTGAGAAAGCTAGGTCAAAGTATATGAATATTTAAAATTTGGATGGATATTGTCAAATTTCCCTCCCAAAATGTTACAACAGTTTTCATTCCTGCCGTTATGCTTTCTCCTTTCTGGGTATCATAGTTTTTTTCATTTGTGGCCCTCTGATAGGTAATATTGTTAACTTGTGATTTGAATTTTGTTAGCTGAATTGAGAGAGAAATGGAGTAGCTTATGAGTTTTTTGCCCATTCATGTTTCTTTTCCTGTGAACTGCCAAATGATTGTTGTTTCTGTTATAAGTGAGCTTTGTATGTGAAGGAAATTAACTCACTGCTGCCATATATATGGTTGTAAAACATATTTTTCTTAATCTTTTATTGGTCTTTTTGACTTTATTTTTTGCCACTCATATTTTTATTTTTATGGAGTTAAATTTATCAACCTTTTTTTTCATGACTTCTGGTGTTCTGCTCTGACCTGGCCACTCCACCTGCTGACACCAGTGCGCACCTTACTGGGCTGTGTGCAGCTGTGTTCTAGGGCTGCTTTATGTCTGTTAGATGTAAGTGGAGTTAGACTTAGTTAGGTGGACAGGGTGCTGAGGCTAAAGCCTAGGGTGCGTGTGGGGGGTTGTATTGGCCGTATTAAGGAGGTACTGTGTAAATTCCAGGTGGCCAGTGAGGTAAAATGGCTTTGGTCCTTTCCTCAGCTGACACTGAAAGGGCTAAGGATAGAGAGACCAAAGGGCTGTGATTTTGTGATATAATAAGAAACATATGAACTTCTAAAACTCTTGGAATTTCCTGAGAAATAGAGGTACTAGGGGTGTCTTTTTGTTGTCTTTTTATTCATAATAAACCATATCCGTTTCAGCCATATCTAAGTTTATGTTAATGAGATGATGGGCCCCTAGATAACTTTAGGGTAGGGCTGGTTGCCAGAAGGACCAAGCTTGTGATGAGCAGGTTAGAACTTTCAGCCCGAGGGGCTTCCCTGGTGGTGCAGTGGTTAAGAATCTGCCTGCCAATGCAGGGGACATGGGTTCGAGCCCTGGTCCAGGAAGATCCCACATGCCACGGAGCAGCTAAGCCTGTGCGCCACAACAATAAGCCTGCACTCTAGAGGCCATGAGCCACAACTACTGAAGCCTGCACACCTAGAGCCCATGCTCCGCAACAAGAGAAGCCACCACAGTGAGAAGCCTGTGCACCGCAACGAAGAGTAGCTCCCGCTCGCCGCAACCAGAGAAAGCCTGCGTGCAGCCACAAAAACCCAACACAGCCAAAAATAAAATAAAATAAATAAATGTATAAATAAAAAATAAAAAGAACTTTCAGCCCCATCCCTGGACCTCCAGAGATGGCAGAGAGGCTGGAGATGGAGCTTAAGGACCAGTGTCCAGTGATGTAATCAGTCATGGCTACCTAATGGAACCTCCTTAAAAACCCCTAAATGACAGGGTTCCAGTGATCACATGGAGATGCTGGGAGAATGGTGCCTGGAGAGGCATGGAAGCTCTGCGCTGTTCCCCCAATCCTTGTCCTCTGCATCTCTTCCATCTTGCTGTTCCTGAGTTGTATCCTTTTATAATGAATAGGTAATAGTAAGTAAAGTGCCTTCCTGAGTTCTGTGAGCCATACTAGCAAATTATCGAATCTCAGGAGGGGGATGTGAGCACTCCCAATTTATAGATCAGAAATATGGGTGGCCCAGGACTTGTATCTAAAGTGGGAGCACTCTTGTGGAACTGAGCCCTTAAGCTGTGAGGTCTGATGTTAAGTCCAGGTAGTTAGTGTCAGAATCTAATTGAATCATTAGACATCCAGTTGGTGTCCTGAGAATTGGAAAATTGGTTGTTGGTGTGGAAAAACCCCACACATTTCGTGTCAGAAGTGTTGTGAGTAAAAACAGCTCATACGGGTCATTCTCTTTTCTGGGTATAATTTTGAACCTGCCTGTTTCTTCTTCTACAGGTGGAAAGATGGCGTTTGTGAAGAGTGGATGGTTGCTGAGACAGAGTAAGTACAGGACGTGAGCCCCTTGGGCTGGGTTTAGTGTTGCCTTAGGGCACATCTTTATTTCTGTGGCTGACACCGCCAGTGTTTACAAACAAATAACAAAGTCTTACTAATGTTGTTGCCCTGGATTTCCTCTTGCAGATTTTTAGAGCTCTATGAACCGTTTTTCTGCACACGTGGAGCTTCTTGGTTGCTGCCTTGACAGGAACCAGGGGACAGTAATAGTCCCTGCTGGTTTCTCTTTTCTCACTAGCGTGCTATATTATTATTATTATTATTATTATTTGGCTACGCCGTGCGACAAAGTTAGTTCCCCTACCACGGATGGAACCCGTGCCCCCTGCAGTGGAAGCATAGAATCTTAACCACTGGATGGCCAGGGAAGTCCCTAGCATGCTGTATTATTAACAGCTGACCTGAGGTTCTTGGATCTACACAAGCTGAGCTGATCTATTACCATGGAGCTGAGCTAATATATTAGCATGGAGGTACTGCTCGCTTTGTGGGAAACACCTGTCTCATCTGGGGATTGAACAGTGACCAGATTCTGAAATACTAGAGTCTTTAACTATAGATTAAGATTTGACCCGAGGGAACTAGTTTATCTAAAACCAAATCTTTTGTGTCTCCAAAAGGACTCTGGAGAAGGGACTCAGTTCTTTTTTTATGGGATTAAGTTCATTTTCTTAGACTCATCTCTATGGGCCTGCATATACTTAACTCTGCTTATCTCTGAGGCTGCCACCTTAAGTAGGATTCATAGTATGTTTTAAAGCAGGAAGAAGCAGCTCTGTTTATTGCAGAAAGAGTAAGCAGATTATTCTGCTGTTGTTCTAGAAAGAGCAGCATTAAGGGAAAAGTGACTAGTATATTGTTTATGACTCCATCAAAAGCTTGAGTGGTGATATATACTGTATTATTCAGATATGAATTTGTATTTAAGGAATATTTTCAATACTTAGCTAAAATTGAGCCTAGCAATGAAGAATGGACTTGCATACCTTAGACGGTTTATAAAAACTATTTATGAAGCTTGTTTGTGTTCCCATTGTACAGATTTTTATATCAATATAATTATCACAACAGCTCTGTGAGGTGGGTGGCATTACCCCAGCTTCCAGCTGAAGAAATAGAGGTTCACTGATAACTGGTCCAGATGTTAGCTATGGGTGGCAAACCTACATTCAGACTCAGGGCTGTCTCGTTTCAACATCAACACCCTTTCTACCAGGAGATGAGCTTTCAGACTGTCTATCCTGTTACTAGTTTTACGTTCTCAGACCTGGAGCTGAACAGGTGTCCTTTCAAGGTCTATGACAGTTCTGTAGTCTAAGAATAGATGCAGCTATTGTATTGTTGGCTTAAAAAAAAAAAAAAGTTGTGACATTGGAATCTAGCCCCAGTGTTTGTGTAAGTTTCCTTGTCTTGGGTTTTGAGGATCTTGGGTGATCCTAAAATGGTCAGGGAACATGGACAGCCTTGCTCAGACCTGGAGGATGTGCCTTCCCTTCCTGCACTCTTTGAGGGCAAGTTTCCTTTCTCCATCATGACTCAATGTAAATGCTCTGTCAACATAAGTGAACAGTGACCCTTTTGACAATTTTGTGCTTCCCATCAGCGCTTAGCATGATGATGTACACAACATAGGAGTTCTGTAAATAAGTTGTACAGACTTTTCCACTGTCTTAGTTATGGTTATCTCAAAAGTGTGTATTCGTAAGACTTATTCCATTTCCCAATATCCTGATGTTGGGTTGATTTTTCTGTCTTTGCTAAAGGAGAAGTATCATTCATAATAAACTAAAATGAGGTGAGTTGTATTATATTCACTGAGTTGCAGAGCAGCAGATACACATGTAGTTACATATATGCACCGCTGTCTTCAGGATTCCTTTTCTTGCCATTGGCAGACTCTTAGGACTCAGTATCTGGACTCTTGAGGACAGCTTAATTTAGGGTTCTGCAGTCAGAGCTTTGATGGCAGGTGCGATACTTGGGTAGAACTCCCCGACCCGGTGATTACACCTGTCTGTGTTTGGGTGGCTCTCTTTGGTAGTTTCTGCACAGCTCAGGCACTGCCAGTTAAATGGATGCTGGGTGTCACTTATTTATCAGTTTGGGCAAATGCTGTGGTTGCCTCTCAGCAAGGTAGGTGTTTGATTGTGGTAAAATAAATTTGGAAGGCTGCTGGGATGAATATTTGGAATTTGTGCACATTGGCCATGAACAGGGTGGGATCTATAGGAACAAAAGATGCAGCCGGTAGCGTATGGATGTGAGAAAGGTGCAGGGATAACTTTTAGATTTCCCTTTTGGCTGACAAGGAAATTAGAGTTTTATAAAGTTAAGTGCCTAGTCCAAGATTACAAATGAATGGATGAATTCTCTCAAACTGATAGAGACGTGTGAGTTAGTAGGATGGATGCGTGCTGGGTAGGAGTCAGGCCCTGGGCCTGGGTCAGTGTCTGGGTGTGGATGTATCCAGTGTCTGAGCCTGCCTCTGCATAGTCTTAGGCAGGAAGACTCCCCACACTGGGAAGGTGAGCATTAGAGAAGAGTATATGTGAAGGCCCTTCAAGAAAAAGATAAGTTTTTCCAGAAGAGGAAGGTATTACTGTTATTTGTGTGTAGAGACTTTACAGTTCAACGTTTTCTGATCAATCTAGCAGTTAGATACTACTGGGAAGGTTTAGATATACTACATGGAGAGTTAAATGTTAGACATGTTTCATTAGCTCAAAATCAAAGTTTTATTGAACTTTTTAAAAAAAATTTTGATATTTTAAGTTGGCAGCGTTCTCAGTAAGATCGAAGTTCTCATCTTAGAGCATGCTGCATGCAGCCCTGGTACAGCATGGGTGTTCATGCAGTTCGGGTCTGCTTTCACTTCCATTTTGATGGACTGCTCTGGGCAATTGTATGCAGGTATACTTTTGGGACCAGAGGAAAGTTTCTTTTGTTTCTGTTACCGGTGAATTAAAGGACAAAGTCCTTGCTTTTCCACTCAAAGGCAACATTTCCCACTTTTTTTCAGGCACTATTTTGAAGCGCTGGAAGAAGAATTGGTTTGACCTGTGGTCAGATGGTCACCTGATCTATTATGATGACCAAACTCGGCAGAGTGTGGAGGATAAGGTCCACATGCCCGTGGACTGCATCAACATCCGCACAGGACATGAATGTCGGGGTAAGTGGGTCTGTCTTGTCCAGCTTCTGTCACCTGCCCTTCTGCTTTCTTGATGGGAGTTGATTCTTCCTTACCCATTCTGCTTTCATTTACAGTCCAAAGAAGGGTTTCATCTGGAAAGAGGTAACCAGACACTGGGATTATGACCCATGTGGGTTGGCAGATTAATTTTCTCCTCTGAATTAGACCCATCAGTCCACATTTCCGTTCTCTCTCATGGAGAAGGTGGTGGAAGACTAAGGAACCAGAGTGCTGGGAACCCCAAGAAGGATGGAGCTACCCTAGGCAGTATAGATTTTGTGACTCAGAAACTGGCTTATTGATAACAACTCTAGTCAGTTTCTTAAAATCCATGATGTCTTTCAATATAATTATCACAACTATTGAAGGAATAGTTTTTTTTTGTTTTAATAAGCATAGACTTTTCTATTTCTAATTAATGGCATATGTAGACTTCCCTGTTTGTTTTATTAGCTCTGTTGCTATTTGGAATAAAGAGGCTGCTGTAGTAACCATTGGTGTAATAATATCCTGCTCCTATAAGTTCTTGAAACACAAGTCTCTATGGACTAGCTATTGAAATCCTTACTTAAACCAGGCTCAGATATCATAGGTCTTACTTCTTGGTACACAGAGATACTTTAAACAACCGATTTTCACTTTTAAAGCAGCGATCTAGTTTGATGCTTTGTGAATAAAAGCAGTAAGTATTCTGTTAACTGATGCTTTGCAACACTTTTCGTTGTGCTTATTCTTCTAATGTCTGGGCTGTTTTATATATCACCATATGTGGATTGTGCTCTAGAAGAGGCTTACATGTTTCTCCAGCAGGAAGTTTAATTAGAATTGAGTAATGATTCATGTGTTTGGTTCTGTACAGCAGAACAAAGATGTTTTATAATTGTAATGTTCTGAAGTTCTGGTCCTTTGCTTATCTGAGCTGTTAAGAAATCCTTAAAAAAAAAAAAACTATGTAAATACTCCTGTATTCTATATGTTTTTCGTAGATATTCAGCCTCCAGATGGGAAGCCAAAAGACTGTCTGCTGCAGATTGTTTGCCGAGATGGGAAAACCATCAGTCTTTGTGCAGAAAGCACAGATGATTGTTTGTAAGTCTTCTTCCAGTGTGTTTAAGTTTAAAAGTGTTTTCTGTTTTAATTTCCAGTTATGAGGAAGGGAGAAGAACGGGAGTGGCGTGTTCCTGTAGGCAGCAGGATAAGTGACTCAGAGGTTGTGTGAAAGAAATGTTAAGAGTCTTACTCCATGTTTGATAACCCTGATCCTCGTTTCTGCCTCTGCAGGGCTGCCCATGCAGGGTCCCATTGTAGTGAGTATGGCAGAAACTATTAGATACAGTCACTTTGCACTCTCTTTTTTCATTACTAGATGTACATTGGGCTACGGGCATAGTTAAGTGGGTTCTTAAATTTTCTTTTTTTGGCCGTGCCATATGGCTTGTGGAGTATTAGTTCCCCGACCAGGGATTGAACCTGGGCCCTCGGCAGTGAGAGCGTGGAGTCCTAACCACTGGACTGCCAGGGAATTCCCCTTAAGTCTTGTTCTTTTTCTGTAAATGTCTTTTTAAAAAGCACCGACATCTGTATTATATAGCCTTTTCTCCTTTTGGTGGTTGTTATTTCCATCTGTCATCTCTGAAGAAGGAGTATGGAACCACAAAGAAGGAAAACCCAACTTTACTAATTCTCAGTGTGTTAACATTAGCATTGATGTAGGATCAGAATCTTGAAAACACTAATTTTTTTTTTTCTGTGCACACTGTACCACTAACAAAAGTTAACTCTGGACACTGTAAGAATTCACTAACAGAGATTATTATAATATTCCTGTATATTAAAATATTCATATATATGTGACAATTTTATAAAATCCAGCTGACCAGTTTGTCAGAGTGCCTGCCCTTGCATTTCACATATGTGTTCATCCTCAGTATAGGCATTTATTCCATGCTGATCTCTAGGGTTTATTTTAAATCCTAGTTGTAGTTTCTTTTTTACATTCTTCTCATTTATATTAGTGAATCTTAAATGGCACTTTGTGGAAAAGATGTACCTTTCCTAAAGACTAATGGAGAAATGAACACAGGTTAAGCCAGTTTGCTACTTTTTTATAAACTGGATCTATATTTTTACTCTTTAATAATTTGAACACTTACTTTGCACTCGGCCCTGTGCTAACTGCTTTATGTATGTTGTTTAATCCTCACCATATCTTATAAAGTGGATACTGTTCTGTTTTAAGAAATTGAGGCATAGTGAGGTTAAGTAACTTTCTGTATCAGTTTTTAATGCTCTTGTAATAAATTACCACAAGCTTAGTGTCTTCGAGCAGTACACATTTCTGATTACATTTCTGGAGGTCAGAGTTCTACACTAGGTTTCAAAGTGTTGCCAGGGCCATGATCCCTTCTGGAGGCTCTAGGGGGGAGTCTGTTTCCTTGCCTTTTCTAGCGTCAAGAGTCCTCCTGCTTTCCTTGGCTTCTAGGCTGAGCCCTTCTCCTGCTGTCATCTGTCTGATTCTCTGTAGCTGGGGAAGGTTATATGCTTTTAAGGATTGAAGAATAGTTTGAGCCAGCCTCAATAATCCAGTATAATCTTCCCCATTTCAAGGTCCTTAACCTTAAGTATAGCTGCAGAATCCATTTGCCTGGTGAGGTAAGATTTTCAGAGGTTCTGGGGATTAGGATATGCATCTCTCTGTAGGGAGGAGGCATCATTCTGCCTGCCATACTTCCCAAGGTTTTAGAGCTTGTAGACTAGACTCAGGATTTGAATCTTTGTCTTCATAGCCCTTTGTTCTTTTTTTTTTTTTTTTTGGTACGCGGGCCTCTCACTGTTGTGGCCTCTCCGGTTGCGGAGCACAGGCTCCGGACGCGCAGGCTCAGCGGCCATGGCTCACGGGCCCAGCCGCTCCGCGGCATGTGGGATCTTCCTAGACCGGGGCATGAACCTGTGTCCCCTGCATCGGCAGGCGGACTCTCAACCACTGCGCCACCAGGGAAGCCCAGCCCTTTGTTCTTAACTGCTCTGTTCTGCTGTTTGCTGAGATGTCACACGTATGGATGGTTCCTTTAAGTACTAGGGGAAAAAAATATCTAGAACTAAAATTATAGAATATTTTAACAAAACATGGGAGGCTTTTTTGTCATAGAGGAGGGAGAAGGGGTAAAAGTACACTGAAGGACTTGCCTTGTTTGGCATGGAAGGCTGACTTTTTCTTAACCTGTATGGGAAAATAGAGGTTTATTTATGTGTCTAATTTTAAGGGTACAGTTAGGGACAGAGCAATGGAGGATAATACTAGAAGAATAAAAATAACCCAGCAAGTAAACTTAATAAAGCATGACAGGAGATGAAGTAGCAGTAATTAGACCAATGATATCTGTGAATTCAATAAATGTGAGTTGGTTAAATTCTCCTTAAAAAGGATAAGATCTGAGATTGGGCAGAAAATACAAAGTCCAGCTACTTATTTTGTTAACAGGAAACACACTTGAAATAAAATGACACAGAAAGGTAAAAAAGTAAAGAAGAGGAGACTGTTTTCCTGGGGCTGCTGTAACCCAGTATCACATGCTAAGTGTCTTAAAACAACAGGTTTATTCTCTCACAGTTCCAGAAGCTAGAAGTCTGACATTACTGTGTCAGCAGAGCCATGCTTCCTCTAAGACTCTGGATAGAATCCTTCCTGGCCTCTTCCTAGTTTTGGTTGTGGCCGGTTATCCGTGATGTTCTTTGGCTTGCAGCTGCACCACTCCAGTCTCTGCCTCTGTTATAACGTGGTATTCTCCCTGTGTGTCTGTGTCCACATTTCCTCTTCTTATAAGTATGATCTTCATTCAGTATGACCTTCATCTTAATTTGACTCCATCTGCAGAGACCCTATTTCTAAATAATTCACCTGTACTGGGGATTAGGACTTAAGCTTATCTTTCTGCAGGGGATACAATTCAACCCATTACAGAGACCTCTGAGAGAAAAGGGGGAAATGAATCTGTGTCATCTTCCTCAACTACCTAGTGAAATGAAGGGGAAGACATTCAGAAGTGACAGCCAAATTAAGAAGTTTAACTTCAAGCACAGAATACAAAGAGCAACAGTCAGAAAAAGAAATAGAAGATTCTGTTGAGATGTATCACAGTTTTTAACCCTACCCCAACTCCCAGAAGCAGTAACAAGATGAGCTAATTAAATCTTAAAAATTTTTGGTAGTACCCTGTGTTCTGTAGAGGTGCTGATACTTCTTGAAAAAGCTAAGGAAAAACCCTTGAGAGTATGATATCCTTGGGACCTTAGCAGAGACTGGAAGGTTCCCCCAGGGCTTGTCATTTCAGAACACTGGAAGGCAGAGAAGGATAAGTGAGCCCCGGCATAAGACATTCAAAGAATTATGCTTAGAAGAGTGTAGAACGCAGATTTTTCAGAAAGGACTTACTCCCTATCTTGACCAGTCACAAAAATTAACTTGAAATGGATTGAAGTCTAAAATGTAAGACCGTAAACTGTAAACCTACTAGAAGGAAACATGGGGAAAAAGGTCTTTGACATTGGTCTTGGTAGCGATTTTGGATATGACACCAAAAGTGCAAGCAACAAAAGCAGAAGTAAACAAATTGGGACTACATTAAACTAAAAAACTACTGCACAGCAAAAGAAACAATTAGAGAAATAACAAGGCATCCTATGGAATAGGAGAAAATATTTACAAACCATTTATGTGATAAGGGTTTAATATCTAAAATATATAGGGAACTTGTATGACTCCACAGCATAAAAACAAACCAATTAAAAGATGGGGAAAGGACTTGAAAAAACGTTTTTCCTAAGGTACTCAACATCACTAATAATCAGGGAAGTGCAAACCAAAACCACAGTGAGATCACCTCACACCTTAGAATGGCTGTTATCAAAAAGACAAAAGATAAGTATTGGTGAGGGTGTGGAGAAAAGGGAACCCTGTGCACTGTTGGTGGGCATGTAACTTTGTGCGGCCACTATGGAAAACAGTATGGAGGTTTCTCAAAAAATTAAAAGTAGAACTACCATATGATTCAGCAATGCCACTTCTGTGTATATATCTGAAGGGAATTAAATCATTGTCTCAAAGAGATAGCTGTACCCCTGTGTTTCTTGCATTATTCGTAGTAGCCAAGACATGGAAACAACTCAAGTGTCTGATGATGGATGAATTGATAAATAAAATGTGATACACACACACACACACACACACACACACACAGACTTGTGCATGCATGGGTAATGGACTGTTAATCAACCCTAAAACAGGAAACCCTGCATTAACAACAACATAAATGGACCTTGAGGGCATTATGCTAAGTGAAGTGAGTCAGACAGAGAAAGAAAAATACTATATGTCCTCACTTATATGTAGAATCTAAAAAAGCCGAAATCATAGAAGTAGAGAGTAGAATGGTGTTTGCCAGGGGTTGAGGGAAATGGGGGAGATATTGGACAAAGAGTACAAGCATCCAGCTGTAAAATGAGTGAGTTCTGGGCATCTATTGTACAGCATAGTGACTATAATTAATAATACTGTCTCATATACTTGAAAGTTAAGAGAGTAGATCTTAAATGTTATCACCAGAAAAAATAAAAAGATAATCATGTGCGGGGGTCCTGGAGGTGTTAGCTTATTGTGGTAATCAATTCATGATATACGTGTGTCAGATCATCATGTTGTACACCTTAAACTTACGTATGTTATAGGTCAGTTTCTCAAATACCAACATTATTATTATTATTATTATTTTTTTTTTTTTGCGGTACGCGAGCCTCTCACTGCTGTGGCCTCTCCCGTTGCGGAGCACAGGCTCCAGACGCGCAGGCTCAGCGGCCATGACTCAAGGGCCCAGCCGCTCCGCGGCATGTGGGATCTTCCTGGACCGGGGCACGAACCGTGTCCCCTGCATCGGCAGGCAGACTCTCAACCACTGCGCTACCAGGGAAGCCCACCAACATTATTTTTAATAGCAAAATATTGCTGACCATCTAAAGCTCATATCATGGAACATTATGTAGCCATTAAAAAAATCAAGTAGATCTGTGTGTATAACATGAACAGATACTGCTAGTTCTAGTATAGTTAAACATGGTACATTTTACATTTATTTAAAAAGTAAAGGGAAAACTGTAGATTATGCTTTAAATATTACATATGTACTATAGATTTATTTCTTTACATATCATATATTCCTAGTGCATGTCTTAGATGAGTTGATTGAGTAGGTCTTGAGGCAAGGGCTTCAGATCTGTTCTTAAACAAGCTTTTTCAGAAATTCCGACGCCAATGCAGGTTTGAGAACCGTTGAGATAGATGTTGGATTGCCTGAAATAAAGTACCTCTTTCTTTTCTTCAGGGCCTGGAAATTTACGCTTCAGGATTCCAGGACAAACACAGTAAGTTGCTAATGGCAGTCACTAGTAATGTTTTCACTTAGTCTTGCTGTAACAAACGGGAGAACAGGAGGTTAAGAAGGGAAATGGGGAAGAGGGTTTTTTTGCCATCCGGCCCAGGATGAGCAAGCAGAGATAAGCAGGCTGTGTTTCGCTGACAGTGAGGAAGCCTGGATTTTGCCAAAACATTTTGGCAGGAGGAGCCCTCCTAACACAGGCACACTGGTCCCAGTGTTGTTTTCTAGAAATGTTTGTATCTCACAAAGATTTGCAACACTTTGAATTCTGCTGTCATTCACAGAGAAGGCACAAGAGGGACCACAGGGTCCTTTTCATGAATAACATCTCAGCCTGTGAAATAAACATTTTTGGGACTTGTACTTGTCTCTAGTTTCTTCTGACTTTAGGAAGTAACGGAGACAGTAAACCCCATTTGTAGAGGCTAGTGATACCATCTTGGTGTCTGTCAGGGAATCAAAGGCAATTCCCTCTGTGGTCAACGTTTTCATTCTTCAGATAGGGTTTTATTTTTTCATTTATTTCTCTAGGAAGGAAAGAGAGGTAGATGGTGCTTTTTCAAGAATTTGTACAGGTGGGAAAAGAAAGTAAAAAGACTTAATATCCAAATGCTGTTTTTTCCTACTTTTGTTAGCTCAGGACTGTTCTTCCTCCTAAGGTTACAGCTCCAGTTACCTTTTCTTCGATGAAAATCCTTTACTTGAATGAAGTTAGTATTGATGATTCATATAGTTAGGGGCAAGAGCTAAGGTGATTCTTCATGTGGATATTTTTAAAAAGAGTATACATATTTTTGTTTCCCACTGGGGGGTAATTTACTGAAAGATTTTTAAATTTTTTAATGGAAAAACCAGATTGTGAGTGTAGAACATATCCTTGACTGCTACGTTTTAGATTGTAGGATTTTTATTTGTGAACAGAAGGGATGTTGAGAGTGGTGTAACATCTTTTAAAGGGCCTGGGTAACAGTGGAGGCCCTGTGGCCTTCTTGGGCAGTGAGAACTCTACTTCTGCCCACTGCTGGTGGCTGAGGAGGGCCACATCCTCCTGAATTCAAAGGACACTGGAGTGCTGGGTGGTGGGCAAGGGGAGGGTTGTCCTGCTAGTCATTGCTTCTCAGAGAGCTGTTATATTTCCTCTTCAAAGATTAAACTTTTCGGCTTTTATTAATTTTTTTTATTTGCTAAATAAAGGGGTATAGTATCATAAGAGCCTTTAGTTGCTTTGTGGCAACTCACTTGTTTTCATACTTTCTCTCCTCTCAAGGCTTATGTTGGCTCAGAAATCGTGTATGATGAGACTGCTGTGGTTTCCTCCCCACCTCCTTACACAGCCTATGCTGCACCAACCCCTGAGGTAGGGAGCAAATCTTTGCCTTATAGAATCCAAGTGAGGGAAACTTGGCGTCTCTGTGCTACTGTGCTTTTAAAGCAGAAGAAAACCTTGAGCCAGCCAGTATCAGAGAAATTAGAAATGTACTGTAAACCCTTTTCTTCTTTAAACTTTTCTTTTTTAAATAGATTGTTGTCATCTTTTGCTTTCCTAAAATAAAGCAACTGTTTTATAATCTTCCTGTTTATATTTTCTTTTTAAGATAGACCTAAAAATGAATCATGGTAATATGATTTTGATGATTCAAGTTTATACTTAATTATTTACTTGAATACTCTCTATCATCAGAAAAAATGCTTTTTTTTTTTGAAAAAACAAAAGCAAAACCTTAAAAAAAAAAATCACATGCCAAATACCTTGTGGTGTCCCCTAGTTAGAGGTGCCAGGCATTCAGTGTTACATATAGAAGTCTCTTGTGGGAGGCACTTTGATTTTTTTTTTTTTTACTTTTAATTTTGAAATAATTATAGATTCACAAGAAGTTGCAAAGGTAATATGGAGAAATCTCATGTCTCATGTACTCTTCACCCATTTCCCCAGCTGTTACATGGTAGATAAAATCAAAACCAGGAATTTGAAATTGGTGCAGTGTTTATGTCTGGTTCCATGTCATTTTATCATACGTGTAGATTTGTATAACCACCACCTCAATCAAGATATAAAACTGTTCATAATATCTTCTTCCTGCTACACCCTCTTATAGTCACACCCTTCTTCCCCTTCCCTAACTCCTGTCAACCACTGATTTGTTTGCCATCTGTATAACTTTGTCATTTCCACAGTGTTATATACATGGAATCATATAACATGTGATCTTTTGAGATCTTTTGATGTTTTCACTAAGCACAACGCCCTTGAGAGTCATCCAAATTGTTGCATGTGTCAATACTCTGTTCCTTTTTATTGCTGAGTAGCATGCTATGGTATGGATGTACCACATTATGTATTGAAGAACGTTTACCTATTGGGAGACATTTTGGTTGTTTCTAGATTTTGGCTGTTACCAATAAACCTTATGTGAACACTCATGTACAGGTTGTTATGCAGACATAAAGTTTTATTTCTCTGGGATAAGTGCCCCAAAATGTAATTGCTGAGTTGAATGAATGGTAAGTATATGATTAGTTTTTTAAAAAGCTGACAAACTGCTTTCCAGAGTTTCTCTACCATTTCTCTTTCCCATCAGTAGTGTATGTGTGGTTTACTTTCTCTGTATCCTCACCAGCATTTGCTGTTGTCACTGTTTTTTATTTTAACTATTCCGATAGGTGTGTAGTGATATTTCACTGTGATCCTAATTGGCATTTCCCATAGCTTGTGATGTTGAACATCTTTTTATATGCTTACTTGCCATCCATATATCCTGTTCAGTGAGATGTGTCTTCGTGTCATTTGCTCATTTTCTACTTGTTTTATTATTTTTTTATTGTTGAGTTTTGAGAGTTCTTATATATATGTTTGAGATAGGAATTCTTTGTCAGATATGTGATCAGTAGCATATCTTTTTATTCTCTTGACAGTGCCTTTCACAGAGTTTTAAATTTTGATGCAGTCCAATTTATCAGTTTTTCCTTTTATGGACTGTGTTTTGTTGTCATGTTTAACACTTCACGTAGACCAAGTTACCCAAGATTTTCTCCTATGTTATCTTCTGAAAGTTTCATAGTCCTAGGATTTATACACGAGTCTTTTATGTTGTCAGTTAATTTTTAATAAGGTGAGAGGATTATGTTGAGGTTTTTTTTTTTTTGCAATGGATGTCCAATTGTCCCATCACTGTTTGTTGAAAAGACTGTTAATCCTTTCTGGAATTGGTTTTGCATCTCTGTAAAAAATCAGTTGGCTGTATTTATGTGTGTCTGTTTCTGGGTTCTCTGTCTGTTCCATCCTCTGATACCACACAGACTTGATTACTGTAGCTATATATCAATAATAAGTCTTGAGATTGGGTAGGCTGATTCCCCCCACTTCATTCTTCCTTTCAGAATTCTTTTAGCTATTCTGATTCCACTTCCTTTCCATGTAAATTTGTCTAAATGTACAACAAAATCTTTCTGGGATTTTGATAGAAATCAGGATTTTGGGGGGAGAATTGACATCTTTATTATGTTGAACTTCCAATCCATGAAAATGGACTGTCTATTTAGATCCTGTTTGATTTTTTTTCACTAGCATTTTGTAGCTTTCAATATATAAATCCTGTATGTGTTTTGTTAGATTTATACTTAAATATTTCTCTTTTTTTTGAATTTTTGTATATGGTATTTCAAATTTCATTTTCTCCATGTTTATTGCTAGTATATAGAAACACAGTTGATTTTTATATGTTGATCTTGTAGCCTGTGAGCTTATTACTAAACTCTTTATAAATTTATTTATTTAATGGCTGTGTTGGGTCTTCGTTGCTGTGCGCAGGCTTTCTCTAGTTGCAGCGAGTGGGGGCTACTCTTCGTTTGCGGTGCGCGGGCTTCTCATTGAGGTGGCTTCTGTTTCTTGCCAAGCATGGGCTCTAAGCGCGTGGGCTTCAGTAATTGTGGCTTACGGGCTCTAGGCATTGGCAGGTGGATTCTTAACAACTGCACCACCAGGGAAGTCCAAGTATTTTATTTTAGATTCTTTGGAATATACTACATAGACAGTCATGTCATCTACAGATAGAGTTATTTCTTCCTTTGTAGTCTGTGTACCTTCTATTTCCTTGCCTTGCCTTGCCTTCTTGCCCTGGTTAGAAGTTCCAATATTATATTGAAGAGCAATGGTGAGAGCAGGCATTCTTGCCTTGTTCCTGATTTTACGGGGAATGTGTTCAGTTTATCCACACTAAGTGTGATGTTTTTTGTAGATGTTCTTTGTCAAGTTGAAGAAAGTCCTTCTTTTTTTTAGTTTTCTGAGTGTTTACCATGAATGGGTATTGGATTTTGTCAAATACCTTTGCTGAATCAATTGATTTGGTCATGTGATTTTTTTTAAAAACCTTTTTCTTTAAACCTAAATATGGTGGGTTACATTGATTTTCGAATACTGAACCAGCTTTGCATCCCTGGAATAAATCTCACTAGGTTGTGGTGTATAATTCTTTTTATTTATTGCTGAATTCTATGTTTGCTAATATTTATTAGGAGTTTTTGCAACTGTATTCATGAGGGATATTGGTCTGTAGTTTTCTTTTTTTGTACTCTGTTTTATTTTGTTATCAGGTGATACTGGCTTTATAGAAGTTTAGGAACTGTTCCATGCTCTTGTATTTTCTAGAAGATATTGTGTAGAAGTGATGTTAATTCTTCTTTAATCATTTGGTAGACATTTCCAGTGAAACTGTCTGGGCCTACCTGGAGATTTCTTTTTGGGGATATTTTAAATTACAAATTCTGTTTTCTTAATAGTTACAGGACTATTCATTCTCTATTTCATATTGAATGGGTTGTGGTATTTTATACTTTTTGAGGAATTGGTCCTTTTCATTTATATAAGTTGTCTAATTTATGTGTGCAGCTCTGTCATTTGATCCATACACACTTATATTTTCTTGGTGGATTAACCCTATTATCATTATGTTATGTCCTTCTCTGTTTCTGATAATTTTCTTTAGTCTTATGTCTACTCTATCTGATATTAATGTAGCCACTTCTGCTTCCTTTTTATTAATGTTTGCATGAGATCTCTTTTCCCATCTTTTTTCTTTCAACATACATATTGCATTTGAAGTTTCTTATAGACAACATATAGTTGGGTCATCCCCTCCTTCCCCCACCTGACAAATCTCTGTCTTGTAACTGGTATATTTAGGCCATTTACATTTTTTTATTGTATAAGTTTAAGGTGTACTATATGTTATTTTGATACCTTTATATATTGTAAATGATTGCAAATGTAGCAATATTTATTACATTACATAATTACAGTATGATATTATTGTCTATATTCATTATTTGATGGATTAGATCTCAAGGCTTATTTAATACTTGTTACAAGTTTGTACCCTTAAACACCATCACTCTTATCCTTCCCCACAGACCATTTGCATATGAAGTAATTTTGATACATTAAGTATGCCATTTTATTTTTTGTTTTCCTTTGGTTCTCTTTTTCATTTCTGTATGTTCTTTTACTTAAGCTTTTTTGTGAGTTACTAGAACATGTTTTGTTTTGTCTTATTTATTATTTATTATTTATTTATTTATTTTTTGGCTGCACTGCGTGGCTTGTGGGACCTTAGTTCCCTGACCAGGGAGCTAACCCAGGCCCTTGGTGGTGAGAGCGCAGAGTCCTAACCACTGGACTGCCAGGGAATTCCCATAGAACATGTTTTAGAATTACATTTTGATGTATCTGTAATGTTTTGAGTATCTCTTTGTATTGCTATTTTAATGTTTGCTCTAGTTATTACATTATACATATACATATGTTTTTCAAAGTCCAGTGTTCACATTTTACCAGGTCCAGTGAAGTGTCAAACCATTACCTCTAGATTCCTTTTTTCTCTCTCATTTTATGGTATAATTGTTTTATTTCTTTTACATGTATTGAGAACCATATTAGATGGTGCTATAGATTTTGCTACAGCTGTCAAACTTATTAGAAAAATCAAGATGTGATTTTTATTATATTTACATGTATTGTGCTCTGACCATGTTTTTTTACCTCCTGATGTTTCAAGATTTCGTTTATTATTTACTGTTTAGTGAACTTCCTTTTGTCATTCTCTTAGGGTAGATCTGCTGGCAACAGATCCTCAGTTTTCCTTCATCTGAGAATGTCTCAGTTTCATCTTTGTTCTGAAGAATATTTTCAGTAGTATAGAATTCTGAGTTGACATTTCTTTCAGCACTTGATAAATGTGTGCTATTTCCTTTGGCCCTCCTGATTTCTGATTAGAAATCTGCTATCATTTGAATTTTTTCCCCCCGTATACATAGTGCATTGTTTCTGGCTACTTTCCTTGTCTTTAGTTTTCAGAAGTTTGACTGTGAC